CCTCTTTTTGCCTGGAGAAGTGTGGAGGAGGAAGGGGAGGAAGGGGAGGAGGGCAGTTGCAGGGACATTTCTTGGCATGGGCTGCTCAGGCAGTCACACAGCCCTTCCTTCCCTAGCTGGATATCCTGTTGAGCTTGCCAGCCTGCTTGCCCTCTTCACTAGGCACCCCATTCTGGAAGCATTGTTCCTTCCATAGAGGGGCCTCCCTCTTTCACTTTCCCAAGCCACCCCCCCAACCTCACCTTCTTTCCCCCAATTGCAAACTTGTGGGGCTCCAGGCTCCCTTTGGAACTTGGGCTTGCTAGCAGCAATTGTTGTGTTGTTGTTGTGTGCCTTCAAGTTGTTTTGACATGCAGTGACCCTAAGAAGAACCTATCATGGGGTTTTCTTGAAAAAATTTCTTCAGAGGGGGCTTGCCATTGCCTTCCACTGTGGCTGGGAGATTGTGACTTGCCCATGTTCACCCAGTGGGGTTGCATGACAAAGAGGATTTCATTTACTTCATGTGCAAAACTATCCAAAAGCAGCTACTTCCCTTGCTTGGGATACTTCCTCTCTTCTCTCCCCCCCTCCAGTAGAACAATGGACCTAATACCAAGAAATAAACATGGAGAGTGCTAGGGTCGTCATTCAAAAGGAAAGGGGGGGGGGTAGTCTGAAAAAATTTGAGGACCACTGCTCTACGCCATTTAATCTGTAAGCCAATTGCTCCCAACAAACTGGGTACTGATTTTACTGGCCTATGAAAGGATGGAAGGCTGAGTCAACCTTGGAGCCCCTGGGATCAAACTCACAACCTTGTGGCTGCAGTACTGGCATTTAATCTGCACTACCAGTGCTCCTTACCATGCAGAAGATCCCACCATCTTAAAAAGTTTGATGTCATGTGATTTATCTCCCCCTCAGATTATTAACAGTGACACCACCACCATTCATGTTACCAAAGGCAGACTGCTTTAGGGTAGAAAGAAGAGAGGCAGCATGGCCTAGTGGTTTGAGCGTCGGACTCTGACTCTGGAGACCAGGGCTTGATTCCCAGCTCAGCTATGGAAGATCACTGGCTGACCTTGGTCAAGTCACACACTCTCATCCTCAGGGGAAGACAATGACAAACCTCCTCTGAACTAATCTTGCTATGAAAACTCCGTGACAGGGTCATCATAAGTCAGAAAGGTCTTGAAGGCAGACAAGAAGAATCTAGGCTTGCGGCGACCTCCCAGAGGGCCTTTTCTGTTGTCACCCCTAAACTCTGGAACGACCTGCCAGATCCGTCAGTTGACATCATTACACAGCTTTAAAAAAGCTGTTAAGATGGATCTTTTCCGGCAGGCCTTTCCAGACTAAATACTCCGGCCTTGGGTCCCTTGGGTCCCCTGGTCCCTTGTCTCCTCTGTTCCTCTCGTGGCCCCATCGGTTACTGATGGATGAGGAACGCAGAAGAGGTTGATGGGGACATTGCAAGTTTTTTAATGTTTAGAGGTTATATGTTTTATTGTTTTGTCTAATTTTATCTTATTATTTTAACTATCTAACATTTAATACTGTTTTAAGGGGGTGGGTTGTTTTTTTCTTTTGAAATATGTTATTTGGATTTTATTGTAAGCTGCTTGG